CCGTGGGGCTCTGTGGGGCTCTGTGGAGCTCTGTGAGGCTCTGTGGGGCTCTGTGGGGCTCCGTGGGGCTTTGTGGAGCTCTGTGGGGCTCCGTGGGGCTCTGTGGGGCTCTGTGGGGCTCTGTGGAGCTCTGTGGGGCTCTGTGGGGCTCCGTGGGGCTCTGTGAGGCTCTGTGGGGCTCCGTGGGGCTCCATGGGGCTCTGTGAGGCTCTGTGGGCTCTGTGGGGCTCCGTGGAGCTCCGTGGAGCTCCGTGGGGCTCTGTGGGGCTCGGGGCTGGAACACAAGGCCGCTGTCTCAGGCTGGAGCTGGATGGGAAGGGCAGGGTCCGGCCTGGCTGCCCTGAGCGCGGTCAGTGGGTGCTGGACCAGCTGTGGGGAGCAGCCTGAGCTGTCGCTGTGAGTGTGACACCACCAACACCGTCCCTGTGTCACAGCCCAGCCAGACCCTGCGGGGAGCACAGGCTGCTCTGGCTGTTCTCTGCGGGAACCCACAGCAGGAATTATCCCTGTGAGCAGGAGAGCGTTCGGGGAAGGGGCACAGGCAGGGAGAGCTGAGTGTGGCTCCAGCCTCTGCCCCTCGGTGTGACCCAGAGGGGCTTCCAGGGCTCCACCAGGGCTGGACCAGCCGATCCCACCTTGCCTGGGCTCCACTGGGGATGGGGATCAGCAGTGCTGGGGTGTGTGTGGGGAAGCCCTTGGGACGCACAGGCAAATCTAATCCCGTTTTCCCACTGAGGGGGCGGTGGATGGGAGAGCAGCGCTCCTTGGAGAGGCCGCTCCCGGTGCGTACCAGCACAGACTGGAGCAAACAGCTCGCTCTCCTTGCAGCTCCTGCGTGGCTCTGACAGCATTTCCACAGCAGCAGTTTAACCCCTGCGCTGTCAGGCTCTGGAGCCTCATTTCCCTGTCTCGGGAAGGGCCAGGAAAACAGGAAAGCTGCGGGGCAGAGCTGGCTCTGGCTCCTGGAGCGAGCCGGGGAGGAAGCGCGGCCACCGCGGCCCCACAGCCACCGTCACTCCCTGACTCAGCGTGCAAGAAGTTCCTCCTGTCACTTCCAGGCTCAGCCAGCCTGGGAACACATTCCTGCCAGGGAAATTGATGTGCAGCTCTTCCTGCGTGGTGGTTCTGCCATCAGAACCCGCGGTGATCCACCCCGGTCCTGCTGGGGGGCATCCAGCAAGAGAAGGGCAGAAATCTGGAGGTGTTTTCCAGGTGTTCCTGAATCTCCCTGCTTTGGTTTGCTCGCCTGGGAATGAGCTTCCGAAAAGTGAGTTTGTGCTCCGAGCTTTTGAGGTTAATACTTGGGCAGCTCTTGAAAGGAGGCTTGGAGTTGTTTGGATTTGCGTGGTGATTTCTGCTCTCTCGGGGTTTGCCTTGGCAGGGTTTTCCTTCCAGCCCAAAGTGACCATTTCCCCCTCAGAATGGGAGGCTGAGATTCTGGGAATGGGCAGCTGGGAAAGCCGTGGTCAATGTGAGTTCAACCCCCGGCTGATGGAACTGAAATCAGGATTTTCCCACTTTTTGGGGAATATTTACACAGGGCAGAGCCCAGGGGCTGGGTGCCTGCCCAGGTAGCCAGATCTGAGGGGCTCGTGTGTGGGCAGCTGGTGTGAAGAGCTTTGTTGGCCGTGGCTGGGTGGATTTATTGGTGTCAGAGCAGAGGAACGGGGAGCTGGCTGCGGAACAGGGATGTTACAGTTCAACTCCATAAAACACGCCGGCTGTCTCCTCTGCTCAGTCATTTGCCAAGTCCCCAAAAAGTCGCAGTGACAGGAGCAGAGGATGGAGCTCTGCCCTCATGATCGTATTTCCTGTCTTTGGTGGCTTATGTCACAGCCTGGAATGTTATTTGAACCAAAAAAAAAAGGAAGAAAAAATAAAGCCTGCGAATTTCCTTTTGATTTTTAATGGAACTGTGAAGAGGTGGGGAGGAAAAGGGAGCGTGCCTGGAGGTTTCCTAACTGCCTCCATTATTCTCATGCTTAAAATATGCCATTTCACAGGTTTGAAATCTGAACTGAAGTTAAAACATACAACTGGGGAATGGTTTGGGTTGGAAAGGACCTTAAAGGTCCCTTCCCTGGAGGTGTCCAAGGCCAGGTTGGACGGGGCTTGGAGTAACCTGGGACAGTGGAAGGAGTCCTGCCCATGGCAGGGGGTTGGAACTGGGTGAGGTTTAAGGTCCCTTCTACCCCAAACCATTGTGTGATTCCATGATAAACCCAGAGTAAATAAACTGACAGGAAGAGCTTTTCCAAATCCACCATGGAAAGAGAAACCCTTCTGTGTTTGCTTAAACCTTCCAAAACTCCTGACTTTAGCTGTCTGCCCCGTGGGTTCCCAGATGAATTTAGTACCAGAGGCATCATCCCTTGTGAGCCTGGAGCTGGGAGGGCCAGGTGGAAAAACATCCCCAGCAATGTGCTCGGGTGGGGGAGCCGTGGAAGGAGGAAGGGCCCTGCAGGTTCCTTCTGTCCCGTTGTGATTTGCGGTTCTCAAGGAGTTAATTCCAGCAGCAGTGAGGACGAGCCCTCTCCTGGAGCGTTTGGCTCCCCTGGCAGCTGAGGAGCCTCCTGGAGCAGGAATTGTGTTCAAATCCTGCTCAGCGGTGACAGGTCCAGACTGTCTTTAAAAATCTCGTAGCAACCAAGGAGCTCGGGCCAAACTCGCCGAGTTCACGGGGAGAGAGAGGCAGCAGCCCCTTGCTTGTCCCTGGGCCATAATGAGGTGCTGCTACAAGAGCTTGTGGAACTCTGCTTTTCAGGGCAGCAGTTGTGTGACAGCGACAAGTTCTGTGTGACAGGGACAAGGCGCTGCCATCGGTTCCGCCAGACGAGGTGGCCACGGCTTGTGCTGGGCTCAGCTCAGCAACGCCAGAACAAATTCCTGGCGAGAAACAAAAGCAGAGGCTCTGGCCAGAACTTCCAAGGGTGTTGGATAATTTGGCAATAAATAAATAAAGATAACTTGGTAAAAATACTTGGTATTAACTTGGTAAAAACTTGGATAACTTGGTAAAAAATGAATAAAGATAAAAGTTAGCCCAGCCCGGGGTGCTGGGTCTCTGGGAGGTTTGACCTCAGCAGGGACAGGTTGGGTGGGGTTTGCAGTGAATTTTTTCACTGCTGAGCGTGAATTCTGAATGTGTTGCATTTTAACCATTCGCTGCCTCATTGTGCCAATGAGCTGTGTGTTAATCCTGTCGCTGAAATGAGATTTAATTGACTTTTAGGAAAGGAATGGTCTCCCTGGGGGTGGGTCCTGCTCGCCTGCCCCAGCAGAACCTGCTCTCACACCCTCTGAGCTGCAAAGATCTACTGGAAACCAAACAATTTTGGTCTCATTTCCTTCTCCTCCCAAGATTTTTTTAAAAAAACCCATTATTTTTATCCCAAACTGTAAATTTTAGCATGAGAAGAAGCAGAATATTGGCTCATTTGTTCATCCCTGCGAATTCCTGCTTCACTCTCTGCAAATTCCCATTATAAACATGACACTTGGGCAGATTATCTGCTTTAGCCATCGTGTACCTGAAGGGGATATCATATTCATTTCCTTGTCACTGCGTTTGTTCTCATCTCTGTGGGATCATTTGGTGAAAAGTCTTGTGATCCTTAATGTAACTCAGCTGGTCTTTGCTTCCGGCTTCAAGAAATTCAAAGGGAGCAGCACTGAAGTGCTCATGGATTTTCCAAAATCACCGCTTTTCCTCAGGTCTGGGAGGTTTTTTGGCCAAGCATCTGGGCTGGGTTGTTCTGGTGAAAGTTCTGCAGGTTTTTGGGCCAGAGACAGCACCAATTGTTGAGTTTTGGCTTTGTCCCCCCAATCCTTGAGCTTTGTAGGAACATTTTGGGGATCTGGAGGAGAAGTTTGTGGTTGTAAGGGGAGGATTTGTAAAACTGAACCAGCTGAGAGCGGTGCACTGGCTCTCACAAGTTGTTCTGCTGTGTTTTGGGAGGAAACTCCTTTTGTGATGTGTCCCTGGGTTCGCCAAAGGAGCCCTGCCACGAATTCAGCCGTAGCTTCTCTCCCTGTGGGATCATCCATGTATTTTATGGAATTTTCATGGTCAGTTCTTAGCCCATCTTGGTGATGTGTCCACTCAGAGGTGACAGGGTGGCTTTGATCCCCGTGCTGTCCATCCCAAGCCGTGCCCTGGGGGTTTGGGGACAGCTGGGACAGGGCTGGGGTGGGTCCCTGGAGCAGAGCTGAATCCAAGGGTGCCGAGGGGCTCTCGGGGCAGGCAGGCTCATTGCATCCCTGTGAAATATGGCCTCACACGTCCTTGAAGGATTTATTGTTTTCCGGGCACTGACAGGCTGGATGTGGGAAGGAAGTGACTCAGTTGCTCTCCAGACAAGTGCAGCTTTGAAATCCAGGGAGGCAGGAGGCAGCTGAGCCGCTCCGGCTCGCTCCCGTTGGAATTCCCGGTGTGGCCGTCACTCCTGCTGGGTCCTGGCAGGGAAAAAGCCAGGCTGGGCAGTGGCCATGAGGCCACGGGAGCCTGTGGGGTGAGGGTGTCACAGCAGAGCAGGTGACAAGGGGAGCTGGGACCAACAGGAGAGGCTGTGCCGAGGCTGGGAGCAGCTGGAGCAGCCCATGGCCAATCGATTGCCACGCCAGGGGCACAGTGTGGGACACAGCCCGAGCAGCAGCAGCTTCCAGGGGGGTTTATAGAATATTTTCCACCCCCACAAGCACTGTGACCTTTCCTGGGTGAGGAGTGTGGGTGCTGCAGCTCCTCTCCTGTCACCCACGTTGTCCCCACAGTGCTGGAGTCTGTGCCCTGCTCTGCTACACAGGGATTTGTAGAGCTGCTGATTTTCCTCAGGCTTTTGGGATATCTCATCCATCAAAGTGTCCAGCCCCTCTTTAGCCTCAGACCTTCTGGCTGATGTCAGATGTGGACGTCAGCAGCTGCTTTCTCCATCTTATTATCAGCTTGGTTGGAGAGAGAGAAGTTTTTAAATGACAGAGATCCTTAGCAAAGAAACGAGAGTTAGTGTTAAAAATAAAGAAAACAAGACAGCTCGTTTCATCTAAACAGAAGGGTTATTAAACAGGCTTGAATTAATCAGAGATCTGCCAGAGCTCTGAAATTGAAAAGCAGGGCAGAGGAGCAGGGAGCACACGAGTGTGAAGGAGCCACTCTCTCAAGCAGACATTGATGTCCCGACACTCGGGGAGAGGAGAGGACAGTGCTGGAGGGGAGATGGCTCCAGGCCTCGGGGTCTGGACCCCAGCAGATGAGGCTGGGGGCACCTGCCAGCCCTGGGAGCCCACGGGCAGAGCCTGGCAGGCCTGGTGGGAGCCTGAGCATGGCCAGGCACCATCCCTGCAGCTCTGAGCTCTGTGGCTGTCCCTTCTCCTGCTGGGTGGAGCAGACTGGGCAGGGATGGAGCTGTTTTACCCTTCCCAGGGCTCAAGCACCTGGAAACTCTGTCAGAAACACCCCCAGCCTGAGGGATGCTCTTGGAAGGGCGGCCAGCCCTGGCAAAGAGGCTTTGGGGCATTTTCTTGGTGTGGCTGCTGAAGCTGGAGGTGATTGCAGCTCCCAGCCCACCCTTCCAGCAGGACAGGGGCTGACCAACAGGCCCTGAAGGGTCCTTCAGTCCCTGCCTCACTTTTCCTGTTTGTTTAAGGGCTTTTGCTGTGTTCTACCTCCCCAAATCCTCGTGATCCCGCGGTGGCACCTGGTGACAATTCCTCCTGTGTTTGTGGCGGCATGCTGGCGCTGTGACTGGCGCTGGCAGCTGGAGGGGAGCAGAGGGATGAACCTCTCTGTGCCCGGGGCTGTGGCACCGCTGCCCTGCCCAGGTGTGGGTGAGAGCAGGCTCAGCTCGGTGCTAACCCCAGCACACAGCCCCGCTCTGGAGCCGCAGAGAGCCCCAAACGCTCCCAGAGGTGCTCCCAGACAGCGCCGAGCTCCCCACAACCCCAGCACCGCTGGCTGAGACAGATCCAGCGCTGCACAGCTGGGGACTCAGCAGCTCAGAACCTGATTTTAACAAATGTACCATTTCCTGGTTTACTTAGGTAACAGCGCTGTGGCCACTGTGTAAATACATCTGGTGCCGGAGGGAGCGGGGGATAACGAACACGGCTCGCTGCAAGGGGCTGGCACAGCCAAAGGACTTCTGTTGCAGGATTTCTGTTTAATGGAGTGGCTGGGGACCCATTTAATTTGAAGCTGGGGTTCTTCACTTGCCTGTGGTGTGCTTGGAGTGAGGCCAGGAGAAGCCGCTGCTTATTTTTCTCCTGCGGTTC